GTACATGGGTATATCTGCATGGCCATTTTTGTTGGACGGGTGATGGTTAAGCATGCAACGCTCAAAAAGCGTCACCTCAGTTCAGTAAGGATGGTCCGAATTGACAATGTACAGAAGAACAACGACCAAATTCAGTATTTGGCTTATCAACTAGAGTATTCAAACCTAAGTTATAAAGTGCCTTATATATGCGATAATTATAATACGGAGTTTATAAAGATATTCGAGGCACCCACCCCATACTTGCTAATATCTATTTATCTATCATTCCTTTTGGTACAGATGGACAAAGATGACTAATGCTTTTGTTCGACAATGGTGGACCTCTCAAAATTGATAACGGTGACTCATGGTCCGACATCTGTTCCACGCCTACAATTGTACCTCCAGTGAACTCCAATCCATACAAACATGATTTTCAATAATATCAGAATACAGAGTTTGTATGGGAGTCTAATAAAACGGAGTTTTGACTAGGTGGGTTAGTACAGCTGTCCACTTACGAGTGTCCGTTGAGGGAGCTTCGGCACCGATCAGCATATAAAATACGCCGTCTACACATGCTACGTATAATCCTAATAACGTAAAAACTGCTACAAATCACCACCGAGATGAAATTTGCCATCGGTGAGAATTTATTAAAACATATTGTGATGATTGGCCAGTCAGTATAATCCTACACAATGTATTGATATTTGTTGGGTTTTCCGAGAAGTTTACCCGCTATTGGCGCGCGCACATAAACAAAACAGAGGCTGTTTCTGTATGGTTTTGGCAAGCGCCAGAGACAAAATGAGTTTTATTCATTATCAGATAATTCGCTGTCTGATGTCAGTTCCAACACAAAGGCCTCATCGTCCACAACTTCCTCCATCATCGATTCGTCTGATTTCTCGTCATCTAGAGGATAGTCGATACCACTCAAATTAGCATAGGTTTTTGCTACCTCAGCATGACCAATAGGTTTAGGGGAATCCAAGATACCACCCCATAAAAGCAGCAGCGAGGAAATGTGATTACAATGAATCATCCGTTTCTTTTTAAGACAAGCTATCAGTCCTGCATTAAGAGGGTTATCAGTGTAAGGCAGATACGCATCCACTGATTCGTCTATAAGCCTGATTTCGTTTTGGAGAAAAGAGACAAGGCGATTCATTTCCTCCTTCAACAGTTCAAGCTCTTCCTGACACCTGTTGTGTAAGCAGAAAAGGTCAATTATCTGCCTCCTAACAAGAGCAGGAACGGTGTCCCCTTCCTCTTGGACTTCAGAGTAAATGCTGCTCTTAGGATCCTTAGCATCGTCATAAAGAATTTGGGGTACATCATTGGGAAGATACCCATTTATTTCGGACAAAGTTTTGTGAATGGACTTGACGACTTTGTCGATCTGCTTTGCGAGCTTTATGGCAATTGCTTGGCCATCTGAAAATTAAAAAGTTCATAATAACTAAAAACGCAATTCAGTGGCAGTTTTACGGATTAGACGGAAAAATGTAAATGTGTAAGACTTGAGAACTGGGAAAATTTAGCCCTCATACCCCTACTCAAATAATCCCAGTACAATGCCTAGAGTCGCAGTTAAAAACAACGGGCATACGCAGCAACATAACGACGGAATTACTGCAGACCATGATCACCATAATACACATGCTACTAAATATTTTACATAGCAGTTTCTTCAGTTTATTACCAGCATATTTTCGCTTCAATTCCACCAAGAAACATCTTTCGGATGCCATGCAATGTAAACTCAACAAGAGTTCGCTCTTTCTCTTCTCGTAGAGACGTGACTTAACGGTTACAAACACACGAGACAGATCGGACCATCTTTCTCTGATGTGATGCTTCTTTTCCATGGCTACTATGGCCTTCTCGTTCCTATGTACAATAAATGTAAGTTAGAGAGATTTATTATTTGTTTTTAATTTCGGCACCCTTAATTCCCTGTCTGCAGAACCTGATTATTCCAGTCGTTGCTGCAAGGAAGGAATTTGCATATTTATGACTTACCGTTTGATTTTCTTTTCAACATCTTTTACTTTCCCTTGATCTTCATCTTGTACACAGCTCAATTCATTTCTGAAAAAAAAATTTAAATGGGTGGAGATACGTACACAATATGTTCAGTTTAATACTTAGTAATTATATTTGCTAAGGTGGAAAGAAAGGGGAGTACGAATACTATATTTATATTATTGTGAAAACAGGTTTTTGCCTTCACAAATAAACGGACGGACGGGGGACAACCCGATAAACTTCTTCTGGGAAAAGGCTTTCCTGGGGGCACTCGCTGGCTGCGGGAAGGCCGGAATCTATTACGGCTGTTGACTATCCTCGAGACAATGACTAACAACGACAAAGTTGGCTCCAAAGTGGATTTATTAAATACCGCTGGGCTGACTGGTTTTTTACCTGACTTGACCAGACTGGGTTTGACCGAAGAAAGCTCTACAAAACAGCTCTATTTAAGCCGAGGTCACAAAGGATCAGGTAATGCCATGAATCAACTAAAGGATCAGTTTCACGTAGTCCACTACAACGATTGGTTAGGTAGGAATTTCGCCTTTTACAAGTTTAATCGCTTTCGAAAAGCTCAGGTACTCGCTAATGTAAGTCATGAATAATTTGGTAGGTGGTATTTCCACACACTATATACCTGAGTTTTTTAGACATGAGGAGCAAGCTGACATATGATTCGTCCCACTGCAGTATTAATCCTGTGACAGATTAATAATATATTAGTGAATACAAAAAAAACTGTTCTCCCTAATGATTGTTAACAAATGCTGAGGAATAAAACTACCGTGTTCTTTTGGTTTCAGTGCTTCAACTTCTTCCTTTTGCCACTCTTGTATCACATCATCATCACAATCTAGTACAGGTAAATACAAGTATAATTTGCAATAATCATATAGCATGCATGTAAGTCATTGTGCTGTTTTTCAATGCAATGAGTAAAAAAAAAAAAAAAAAGGTTTAAAATGTATACCTGGAAGTTTTTCAGTGAGTTCCTTAAGCTTTGCACTGACATCCTGTAGAAGAATTTCTGCCCTTGCAAACTTTGCTTTTAGAGTAAAACCTGTGAACATTAAAAGGAATCAGTTTGATGTGTACTAATAAGACTAGTCAGCCTCGAGTTACATCTGTACATACATTGCACATGTCCATATTGAAAAAATGAAGAATTGCAACTACGACAGAAAACACAGGGTAGATAAAGCTGTCCAGCTAAAGTACTGGTCAATAGTTGATATCCCTTTTACTTTTCAGCAAAACCCACAGAAATGTGAAAGTTATGTGTTCAATAAAATTAACCATACCAAATTTGTGATACAAATGTTGGGCATAGTGAAGAAGCCCATCAGTCAAAACATCTGTCCTTTTGTGAGCACTCATTTCTTTAGTGACAGAGGAAAACCTTCGCAGAAAGGACCATAACCTTTCCACCCCTTCACCATCTGTCAATCCAGTTCCCTTGATCCTTCTTGGACTGTACTGGATCTACAGACAATCATATTGAAGATAAAACCATTATTGAAGATAAAAGCATTAATATGGCATGGACCTTGCATCAGATATTTAGCAAATACATGTACTAGCCTGCAGTGCAGGCAGATTTTAGCAGTGTGAATGAATATTTCCAACTTGAGTGTTCAAAGCACCATCTTGAATTAGGAAAACAGCGGAGAGTTGGAGCATGAGACCTCCTCACGCATTGTATTTTTGCCCCAACTTTCCAGTAAAACAAACACTCAAAAGATGACCACCAACAAAACCACCTGCACTGCAGGCTATATACTTAAAAATTTAATTTTCATTCTAGGTAAAATTAACCTTGAGTAAAGGCTCACTGGTTAGTGGTCATTTCCAAAGCTGATAGGCTTATGTAGGGTGGCCACTCTTTTATAAGGAACATGTACATGTGCTTAAACATTTCACCTTGCTTGCTTAGCTGACCCTTGCAGATCATTTGCTTTCAATTTTAGAAACCGCTGTCAGATTTCAGATCCCACACTGCTCACCGGGCATTGGTAGGTAAGTATGGGATGTGTATGATTACAACTGTATTTAACCAATGTTGAGTATTGCCACACATTTCTTCACATTGCCACAAGGCCATTTACTGTTAAACTGATATATACTAACCTGGCATGATGCCTTGTGCCCATAGCAATGGAATATGGGTATGGCAACATCAACACCTTCCAAGAGGCTTTCCTGAGATGAACACTAATAAATATAATCATGTACATGTAAATGAAAATTGTGTCAGTAGTAATAAACTATTCTGAAGTTAAGATGTGATCCTCACAGATATTCATGCAATTTAAATGTAAGCAATAATGGGAATTTAACCAAACACAAAGAAGAAAAGAATCTGGCCCCATTGGGATTTGAGCCCATGACATTGTCATTGCAATGCTCTACCCACTGAACTATGAACCCCCATATGTTGGGAGCAAGCCAGTACCCATGAAAGGAAGTGATGAAACAGACAATGGAATTACGTCAGTTGCAAAAATGACATTTTATTTGATTAAGCCAATTGCTCAAAATTCAGTAAATAACTCTGATGATTACATCTTCATTTCCTTTCCACAATTCACATAATTCCAGTCTGTTCCAATAAATTATTTTATTTCATCCCAAATTTAATAGAAAATACTTTGGACAATTCCACATAATTAAATACCACTTTAGATTACCATTTAGCCTCCTGCACATCCATGTTCAAAAAAATTTAGTTACCTTCAAATGGTGTGCTAATAGACAAGCAATGTCATACATGATGATTACTCAGTTTCTGGTGCTCCAAAGACTAAAGCTCATTATTTTATTGTCATCCTTTTTACACAAATTTAATAATATGAAAATTACTCATAGGACACCATGCTATTCCACATAATTAAATACACTTTAGATGTAACTTAACACTTTATAGGATTGAGCACAACATTAGAAATTGTATTTACATACTCCATACCTTTCACCATGCTTTATTACCAAAGTTGTTCTGAAAGAACCTCTCCAGCATGGAACTTACTGCAGTTCTGTGAAAAAAAAGTGACAAAAACAGAAAGTCTTGAATTTAAAGGGCCAAAAGGAAAATCATACAGTTATCAAATTAACATCTATGCCATAACGTATGAGCATGGCATTATCTTAAGTACAGACCTGTTCCATGTCTGCTCCAGCTTTGCCATAACTGTTGACAAAATTGTCAACATCATCCTGGTCTGCAAATAGGAGTGTTCCATGTTTGGGTGTTCCTAAATTATGCCCTTTGTCCTTCTTTCTGCACAGTCCAAAGCACCCATCCATGCTTTCAATGAGAACACCATCATCCTGTTCAAAAGAGAGGGGAAAAGAGAAAAATAGATATAAAAAAGAACAGCAACAACAACATAAAATTAATACTGCAGAACTACAGTGCAAGCTACTATTCAGAACAAATTACAATGTATAGTTACCCTTGGACATATAGGACACCAAGCTCCATTGTACAAACTTCCATTATTGTACTTTGTACAATGCCTGTACTGATACATGAAATACCTTCATGTGAAAACAACAAAATGTCAATCAGGACTTTCTTAAAGAAAGTCAGTAAATGTACATGTACAACAAGAAAGATGTTTCGTAAATCATGTGACTACCTCTACTACTACTAATAATAATAATATTAATAATACTAATATAACAAGAACAACAACAATAATAATAGTAAAAATAATATTAATTCTATCGATAATACCTTAGAAGACATTGTACATCCACAAATTAGCAGCTCTGATATTCTCAACCTATATGCAAACATACCTGAATTCTTCAAAGCATTCTGAATTAAGGATACTGTAAATTGAGCTCACCTAAAAAAAACATACCATTCAACCAGAATCAATCAATTAAAAAAAGTCATGTCATGTCTCAAAAAGACTGTTTGTGAGCAAACCTACATGTGTTGGCTGTAGCTGAGGATTGAGTTCTGTGATCACTTCAGTGATGTTTAGCAGGGACACTTGACAATGAAGAAAGACCTTCTCCACAAACTCCATCAGTTTGAAGCTGAATCCTGTGGTGGGATTTGCTGGTGACCCTGGCCAGAACTGGCATTTCAAGAGTGTGACAGCATGCGGCTCACAATCACACACTTGTACATATTTGAGGTGATGATTTCCTGACATTCATAGAAAAATAAATGAACAACTTAAGAAGTTAAGTAAACAAAATGAAAAAAAACATTACATACAGCTTTAAATACCTCTTACTTTGTTGAGGGCTGTATAGACACCTTATTAACCAAGTGCAAGGGCCATACTAAGAGAATATTGGCCCAAGGTCTTGACAGTACAAACCATTAGTGCAGCGAGGTCTGTACAGAAAAGTCCAAGGGCCAATATTCTCCCAGCATGACAGAAAAGATTCTTACAGATAGATGCAAGCCAAGTTTATTGTTTCTCTTTGGCAAGCCATTAAAAAACTTAATTGCATGTGGGATCATTCAGGACATTATCCGGTCCAATACTTAGAAAATATTGGACAGGCAATGGAGCAATCTGATTATTTGATTTTAGTTACTGGCCCTGACATGTTGAGAGAATTTAAATCGTATCATTATCATTAAGATCATTAGCGTTCTTGATTTTAGGTAAGCGGCAGGAAAATGTGAAAAAGGAACAGATAAAAAAAGAACGCTTCGTTTTTAAACCATTCTAGTATTCTCCAACCACTATAAATGAAATGAACTGACCTGAGGCATCCAGAAGTCTGAACAGCTTTACTGCTGCGGTTCTGCATGTATGGCCATAGCTAACAGTTGCCTCGTCTGCATACAAAGGAGAAAATACCCCATCCTATTAAAATAAAGAAAGCAAGATATGTTACACTAAAAGTAGCTAGAATACAACTGGCCCCAAAATATTCATACACACCTTCCATTGCTCAAGTACATGAAACTTGTTTCGATTGACATGTAGAGCTCGTGCACATCCAACACAAAAGTACTGGCGAGGGCCACAGTACTCACATCTTGTTGTAGCGATACTCTTTTGACAGTTCACACAGTTCACATTGTCTGGGAGATGCTGTTCTTCAATGTACGAATTCAGCAACTTTTCCCGTACCTTTTCCCAGTTAGCAGAGATACTCAAAACGCGATTTTGCTGTTGAGTTGAGAGTTCCTGCTTATCGAGATCGCCAAGAGGGACATCTTGTTCTACTGGACTGTTGGTGTCCTGACTATTTTCCTCCGTACTCTTATGAGGCTGCTTCCCAAGATCCACTCTCAGCGGAATCGATACGGTGGTTTTCTTTCCATCGCGCCCAATATTCTTCACATCTAAGAAAACGGGCTTTAACCGACGCATTTCGTAGCGATCACCTTGGCTCGTCCACCGAAGAGTGAAGGATCAGATTGGTCGAAATGTTTATGCATATCTAATGAGCTACTAGGAAGACTTAGATGATCATTTAGGACGGCTTGAACCCAATGATCTAAATTTAGATTACGTGGGTGTTAGCCATTTAGATTGTGTAAGTAGGGTGCATCACTTTTAGTGACGCCACTGACGTTTTCCCAGATTTTCGAGAGGTTAGCTCGTTTATAGTCTGCCAGGTCTTTCGGGAGTCGCTGATGTGCTTATTAAAACTATTTCGGTAATAAACTAGCTTAGCTGAGCGTATTTGCTTATTGATTATATTTCTATGTTTCTTAAATAATGCCCAATCGTTAGGATCATTTGTCTTGCTAGCTTTGATTTTTAATATGTCTATATTACGCATAGAGTCTTTCAATTCAGAGGTAATCCATGGAGAACTCCGTCAACGAACACACATCGTTTTCAGTGGGGCATGTTTGTCAGCAATAGCTAGAAATGTACATTTCCATTGCTGCCACATCATGTTTGGGTTGGAAGACTCATATACATTATCCCAACATTGAGATAGGATGTCATAACGAAAATTTTGACGATCGAAATTTCGGAAATTTCTATATGTAATAGAATTATGTCCATTAGACATTTCGTTCTGGGCAAGTTTTCTATATACATACACCATGCTATGATCACTTATCCCTATGTGACAAACTCCCGAACAAACGATCTTATCTGAGCAGTTGGTATAGATTAAATAAATTAGAGTTGAAGAGGTGGGTATTATCCTCGTTGGTTCAGAGATGAGCTGCTCGAGTCCGTAGATATCGGCAATACTCCTTAATTTGGATATGTCATTGTCATATCGAGTAGTGATCATATCACAGTTCATGTCTCCCGGTACAAAAGATTCTACATTTTCACTATCCAAATTAATCCATCATGGAAGAAGCCGTAGCGGAACCCCCCCCCCCCCCCTTAGCTCAAGGTTGAGGGGGGGGGGCGGCATTTCGTCGCTTGCCGGTCTGCGATTCTTTTTTTTCACCTAATATAAGGGGGGCCCCCGGGCCCCTCGGGCTCCTCCCCTAGATTCTCCACCGGTATTGTCGGTTTCACGACGTAAATGTTCAGATTACTGATGTGCAAGCCATTATGATAAGTGACACACCAAATAAAAAACCGTTAAGAAAAGATTATATTTTAAAGAAAATAACCAAAGTTCTTTGATTAACGACACCTGAGAGAAAGGCATGACCAAACAGGCCGTCAAAATATCGCTTACAGACAGGAATGTGATTGAAATGTTGGTAGCTGTACACGTAACCTTGACCTTTTGCAAATGATAGAGCAAGTCAGAGTGTTCGCAGCGATTTTCATAAATATCAACAGGACGATCACTGCCGATCCTTTAATTATTTTGTCTCTTTTGATCTAATCTGGAGTCAAATTCGTTCTCCTTCTCCTTTGCGATAAATCAAAACTACTATTTGTGACCTTACTTCTCAAAAACAGTTGAAAGCTATAAATATTCACGTGGTCCTTGGTGCTTGGTCTATTGTGCATACAAATAAACTGGAAGAGTGATGATCAAAATTTTATGTGATATTCACCGGCGAAGAAAGAGATTTACAATTTAAGCCAGCGTCTTTGAAATGCTCTGAACTCTTGTCTCTCCGAAACAAAGCTTTCAAGCCATCTCCGGCCGTTCTATCTCAGTTCAAGTCACTCGGCATTCTGAAATACCGTGGGCAACATAGTGCTCGAATCTCACGATCCATCTCAACCAAGAAAATCCCGGTGATGCAAGGCCGCCGTTTCATCAAGGCTGAAGGTCGGAAAGTGGATCGGAGTAACTTAATTAACATTCCGCGTGTCAACACAACCGACAAAACATCCACCTCTAAATCAAAGGGTTTCGCTGTCCCAAAATGTTTGTTTACGAACATTTGTGGTTTGTCGAAAACAAAAAATCGTGTACGAGCACCTGTGGCGCTTGAGGCTGACCTGAGATCTCAGGATATTGATGTGTGTATTGTCAGTGAAACTCATCTTTCCACTAATATGCCGGACGCCGTGGTGAATATCCCAAATTACAATGTGTTCAGGCGGGACAGAGGTTGGGCAGACTTGGACAAAAGGAAAAAAGGGGGTGTTGCGGTCTATGTGAGAGACAGTCTTAAAGTCTTGGATGTCTATCGGTCCAATTTATATGAATTTATTGCTTTAACAGTGCAGTTGCCGTCCGATCACATTATGCTAATTTGCGGCCTGTATAATCCTCCCAAGCATAGCTACCGGGATCTCGACTTAATTAATTATATAATATCTTTTGTGGACATTGTGTTGAACAAACACCCAGAAGCGGCTATTGTCTGTGGTGGCGATGTAAATCGTTTGGATATGCAAGAATTTAAGGCTTTGTCTGGCTGGGATTTCGTGGTTGATTTTCCCACGCGGGGTAACGCGTGCTTGGATAACTGTATGACCAACCGAGCGGATCTGTTCGGTCAAGCATATTCCATACATATGCTTATTAAGACAGACCATGAAGGCTTTGTTTTACCGGCGGGATTAAAGCTTAAACCTATGCGCCGCAAAGTTCTTGTGCGGGACTGTAGGGAACATCGGAAACAGTCATTTTATATGGCACTCACTGCGCTGGACTGGAGTGACGTCCTCAATGAGGTGGACATAAACAAGGCGGTCGAGGTGCTTGAGGTAAAGATTCGTGCAGTGATGAATAAGTTTATGCCGCAAAAATCTGTACGCATGTCATCGCGTGACCCAGTTTGGATGTCCCCATTAGTCAAGTGTATGCTGAGGAGTAAGTCCCATATATCTTCAAAGAATAAGGAACGCCTGTCTTTATTTAATAAGCGCATTTCTGAGCTGATAACCGAGAACAGAAGAAAACTGGCTGCCATTGGTAGCGGTGAGTGGTGGAAGGGCGTGGACGCCCTATCGCAGCGTCGCAGGTCATCGTTGATAAATTTGGACAAGAACTCTCTAGTTCATCTGAACGACTACTTCGCCAACCTGTGCTATGATGACACTTACGTTAGACCTAGTGATATGGATATCCCGGACAGTGTAAAGCCCCCGAAAATATCTGAGCGGTGTGTCTGGAATACCTTAGTTCATGTAAAGAAAACCGCAACGGGACCAGACGACCTCCCGTACTGGATCTGGAAAGACTGTGCTGAGCTACTCACACCAATCGTCACTCACGTTTGGAATCTGTCGCTGTCTACTCATACATGGCCAGACTCCTGGAAAAGGGCAAATGTTAACCCTCTCCCCAAAGTGAATATGCCTATAGAGGACTCGGACTACCGTGGTATTAATGTTACTCCCGTTATTGCCCGGTTGTTTGAGAAGGTCGTGTATCGTACACAAGCACAGTCAGTCATTGAGAGCAACCTGAGCCACACCCAATTTGCATATAGACAGGCGGGTAGTTGCACAAATGCCTTGCTCGCTATCCAGCACCAGACATACAAGTATTTAGATAGTAGTGACTATAGCGCAGTGCGAATTTTTACCATGGACTTCAGTAAGGCTTTCGATTTTGTGAACCATGCTATTTTGTCTGCCAAACTGAAACAGCTACCTCTAAATCCGTACATTATCAATTGGTATCATAGTTTCCTCTATGCAAGACAACAGCGTGTTGTTAGTTATAATTTTTTAGGACAGTGGAAACTTGTCAATAGAGGAACCACACAAGGTAGTGTAAGCGGACCGTATCTTTTTAATATATTTTTGAACGATTTGGAGATTTTTTTTAATGGTTGCCCTGTGCTTTTTAAATATGCCGATGATTCCACTATTCTTTCGCCTATCACTAGGAATAGTGACCCGTCTGCCGACTTAGTAGGACAGTTCTTAACATGGTGTAAAGACAATAGAATGGTCTGCAACCCTTGCAAATGTAAAGAGCTGGTTGTTAGAAAGAAAAATCATAATGTACTCTACTCTCCAATTAATAATATTCCCCAATGTAATAGCTTCGTTTTATTAGGAGTAACTTTACAGAGTGATGGAAAATTTGATGAGCATGTAAGAACTAAGCTTGTCAAAGCAAACAAGTGTTTACACGTCCTACGAACATTGAGAAAGGAACATTACTCTCAGGCAGAGATTGATCATCTTTTTATATCGATTGTTTTGGCTAATTTTAGCTATGCACTTTCAGTCTATGGGGCATCTGAGTCCGATCTTACGGTTGTACAAAAATTTTTAGACCGATGTCATGAACGCGGTTTTATCTCATTCCCAGTTTTTATCAAGAACCTTTTAAACAAACAAGACAGAAATATTTTGAAGAAACTAAAATCAACGGATTGCCACCCCCTGAAAGATATCATTCCTGTCCAAAAGACATATCTACACAATCTCAGGAAAAAAGGCTGCGCGCGCCCGAAAATTAATACACAGCGCTTTATGAACACATTTGTAAATAGGTTGATATTTAAGCTCCATTTATTGTAATGATATACTTTTTAATTCATAATATGTATGTAGATTTCTGTAGTTTTTTCAATTCATTGTAACATAAGATATGTAGTTTTATCTTATGATGGAATAAAGACAAATATTTACAGTCAACTATCCAGACTTGCAAGCGCCACATCAATAATAATTTGAGTTCCACTAACTCTCGTTATTATTAACACCGAAAATGAAAATGGTTCCCTTGTTTTCAATTTTACTTTCCTCTATGGGGTTCATAAATGGAATTTTGAATCATAACGAGACAATCATCCTTGATTCTATTCAAGAAAGATAGTCTGTATAAAGCTCACAGCTTGTGTGATGGAGTCCAAGAGAGAGGCTATATTTGCAGCCATAATAGTGGAACCCAAACACTATGGCTGTAGCTGTCTCACACAGTGAACTGTAAAACAGTAAATGTTAACCATTACCCGTAGATTCCATTCAAATCTCCTTAATCAGACTCTCAGGCCGTTCCTTGTATTTGAATTAGGTAGGAATCTTAACAATTTAATGTCCTTAACTCGAAACCTTTGTAATAAAGGAAAAAAAATTAGAAAAGGATCCCTTCTCTACTTTAAATAGTGCCTCAGAGATCTATAATTCCTTGGCTCTTATGGGTTCAGTCTCTACTAAGAGCCTCAATCTTTAATGTTTTCTTGATATTTGTAATCATATCCTAAGAAATTTGTTGATTATCGTGTTGAGACTTTAAACCTCGTGTTCACTTCCACATTGTATGCTATCTTTGTACCTGGGTCATCAAGGACTCTAAAATTGAGCCGCACGTTTCTTGATTTTGATCGTTCCCCACTGATCAATGAAACCTGCCAAGTCACAATCACAGCTGCAATCGATTCTAGAATGCTTCTACATCGATGATTCACCTCAATCATTGCCTATTTAAAGGATGCATGCAGTCAGTCTCATTCCTTTGCTATCACAAGGTGACTGCATCTTGTCTCTCCTTCTTTTGAAAAACTGAAAAACTATGTTGGTAATGTAGAGATCATTATCATGGCACGCGTTTTCCATAACTATTAGGCATATTACCTTTTGTAAATTGTCATATCTATTTAAAATAAAGAGTCTATAGAGGCAGGATCTTTGACTGTTGGAAACGGCAGCGTATTATATGCAGAATTTGTAACATCGTATGTAAAATCAAAATCTTCCACTTTCTTAAAAAGATATTCAGGTCTGTGTTAAAAACGTTTTAACTTAACTTTGATTTACTTTCCAATTTTACGAGGAAAGGTCAAATTTTCGAAATAACGACTTGAGTAAAATTTGATCGTTTGTTTAGGTGAAGCAGAATCACATTAAATCGTATTAATAAATCATACAACTGTTCCAATTCCTTAGATGGACTTCACAGTCAAATCAAAATTTTTTGTTCCAGGATCGGGAAAGGTAGGCGTCTCGATTTTTAGTCTCAATTGAACACTTTTCCATTTTTAAAATATAATCAGAGAAAAACAAAAGATGTATACTGCGCTTTTTCCAATCAAAAAATGCTACTTAGAACTTCAAGATTTAGGGCGCAGCTAGACTGGGAATTCAGTCGTTGATGCAGGCAAATATCAAGCACCTCTTTTTGTAAGGTGACTAAAGGTGTACACAACTCGTACTGTTCACCTTCCGCACTGAATTTAGAATTAGTTGACTTATATGAACTGCAGTTGGGTACGCCCTTTCTTCCTTAAATTTCCTGTTCACTCTGTTGTCATCTAACAAACTTTAAGGGCTATTTTCCATTTAGTTATCTTTCTAAGTGTAAATCTTATTTACGCAATGAGTCCTTTGTAATTTTTATATCACCAATCTTGTTTTTGTTTTGCCCGATCTTAACCGCAAAAGTATGAAATTTTGGGTGGAAAGGCGTTTTGGAAAGAGTCAATAAGCCGAAGGTACATACTAAGTATGCGGGAACTGTTCCACGTAACGCGGCATAATTACCATAAAATCATTTGGTGCTCCGGCCACGCAAAGTTCGTCCCCTCTTCTTGATTTCTCCTTTCTTCTCCATAGTTGCCGACGTGTCTTCACAGTTTTCTAGGAGAACTCACTAAGCGCTTAGTTCGATTATTTCAAATCTTAAATACAGCTATTACCAGAAAACGCGAAAATAAATTTCGCGTCATAGGCACTTTAAATTATTATTATATTACTATTGTTATTGTTATTATCATCCTAAAATTTTTTTTTCACAATTTAATTATTTTTTGAATGTCAATCAGACAATATATTATTGAATCATCCTTCTTTTGTGGGACGGGGTACTCATAAGTATGTGTGATGCGGCAGGTTTTCTGTTGCACAACCTCTATTCAACAAGATTTGAAGTGCTATCAGCGCAAAAACAATGGCGGCAGGTTATGGCGGCATAATAGGGCTCGTTTGCTATGGCTATCAACTGGATAAATAAGAACGTAATAAGACCTTCATACTGCATTGGCTGGATACGTTTACGTACTATTTCTGTTATACAACCTCTATTTCTGTTCGTTAAAAATTGTGCCATACACATGCAGTAAAATTACTGCATAAGTGTTTAAAATGTGGTGTTGTTTTTGTTTTGAGAAAATATTTGACCTCTACGATCATTTTGCGTCGAACAGCTTGAAATCATCTTAGCACCAAATTCAGTGCTACTATACGGGTCTTTTCCTTACTGAATACAACTACAACTGCGTAATTTTTAATTGAAGAGTTCATTCTCGCTCTTTGCCGCAAAAGATTCCTTGCCGATCTCATACGAGGGTGCCTATGTGAGTGCACGCGATTAGGAAGTGATATTCGAAAATCAATGTCAGTGCTTGTTGCTAAGTCATGAACAGAGTTGCAATCGATTCCAGAATATGCAGAATATGCTTTTGCATCGATGATGAGAGAGCATTATCATGGCACGCGTCTTCCACATCTATCAGGCATATTTCATATTTCATTTATATAAGTCATTTTTCATATCTATTTAACATAAAGAGTCTATAAAAGCAGGATCTTTAAATGTCGGAAACTGCAGCGTAATGTATATAATTGCGTTGCATATAAAATCAAAATATTTCACTTTCAAAAAAAGCTATTCAGTACTATGTTTTAAACGTGTCAACTTTATTCGAAAAACTTTAAATCCAGTTTACGTGGGATTATGAGGGTTCGGTTGCCATGGCATATCAACTAGGGCAATCAGAACGTAGTAAGACCTTCATACTCCATTGGCTGGATATGTTTACTTTATTTTCCAAAGTATGAAAGCTCTTATTGTAAGTTATTTGTGCTGGAACTTTGCTCCACGGCAGAACTTTTCACGCATCTAGCGTAGTGATCATGAACGTAAATCATGTGGCCTCGAGGCATATCCATTCCAAATGGATCAGTTTTCTATCATACAGCATTTTAATCAAAAGTACATTAAATGTCTCCCGACATATGAAAAAGTTTTTTCAAAAGGTTAACGCCGCCAAGATTCATCGAGCTACGTAAACACATAGACCCCAAAGTTAACTACAGCAACTCTTTAGAAACTGATTTTACTACTGAACAACATTCCCAAAAAGCCTTGATCACCAAGCTTAGGGGGAAACCAGTAATATTTGGCAGTTCCCCACACAGGATCGGGTAAGCTGATCGACTAAACGTGAATATTCTGATATGTTGAACATTGTAATATCTGACATCATAATTAGTAAAAGAGAAAGTTGAATTTGCCACACGAGGCACGTCTGTGTAACTCCGTTTCTGAAAAACAATTCGCGTGCACATAATTATATCAAATCGTATTTAGCATTATTTACTCTGCGTGGAATCTTTCTTTCGTCCATTTTGTTATGAAAGAGCTTGAGATCATCCGAAGTCAAAATTCATTGTTGCTATAAGGGCTTTTGCCTAATACAGTAAATGCATGATTATTAAGACAAGAATTAAGAGAATTGTGGATTCTCACTCTTTGAAGTCAAACTGCTGGCAGTAGATGCTCTGCTGATCTCATACAAGCGTGCTTTGATATTTGGGTCTATTGAATGAATGCTTTTAAAAAATGATATTCGAGTACATGATCACACCCCCTTTTTGCCTTCTTCAGAATTCTTAAATTCGACCTGTTTACCGAACGAAATGAATCGAAGACTCTCTGTAATCATTCTATAGTGCCTGTATACTTGGAAAGAAATGTTGTTAGAAGACAAAATTAGCATCAAGCAAGACTTTTCTGCAGAAGTTTTTTTTAAAACT